AGAGGATCACTTGAGATCAGAAGTTCTAGATCAGCCTGGGCAAAGTAGTAACACACTGTCTCTCTCTCTCTCTTTTTTTTTGTTTTTGTTTTTCGAGACAGGGTTTCTCTGTGTAGCCCTGGCTATCCTGGAAGTCACTCTGTAGACCAGGCTGGCCTCAAACTCAGAAATCCGCCTGCCTCTGCCTCCCGAGTGCTAGAATTAAAGGCGTGCACCACCACCACCCAGTAACACACTGTCTCAAAAGCAAGAAGAAAGAAGTAGAAAGAAGATAAGAAAGGAGGGAGAGAGGAAAGAAATGTGACTCCACAGCAAGTTTTTTATATTATTCTTTTTTAAAAAGATTGTTATATTTATTTATTATATGTAAGTACACTGTAGCTGTCTTCAGACACCCATATGAGGGCATCAGATCTCATTGCAGATGGTTGTGAGCCACCATGTGGTTGCTGGGATTTGAACTCATGACCTCTAGGAGAGCAGTCAGTCTTCTTCACCACTGAGCCATCTCACCAGCCCCCACAGCAAGTTTATGTACATTGAGTGTCTCATTCATAAAGCTGTCCTCTGTCAAGGTTTGCTGAATGCCACCAAATGGACACAGGTCACTGGTTGGGTGCAGTTTCTGGCAAGCTTGAATACAGGCTGTATGCTGGTGCTGGTAACCAAGACTGGGAAGATAAGAGGATTAGAGTCTTGCTTTGGCCAGGTGAGGGTTGAGATATTTGTAGGATCTAGGTTGTCAACATAGTGGTTAATCTAGTGAGAGTCTAGTGCTGGGAGCGAAGATCTGTGACCTCATGTACAGGAGGCAGCAAATATAATGATGTCATAGATAACTTCTCTGAGAACACAACAAGTTAAGCTAAATGTACAGCACTTGCCTTGGGAGGGTATGTGGGTGACAGGACAGCTGCTAATGCTCTGCTCTTGGACACAGCAGTCAGGAGATGAAGTAAGTATTTTCAAATAGTCAGGCTAGTTTTGGTGACACAGGTCTACAATCCTGGCATTCCAGTGGCTGAGGCAGGAGGATCATGAATTCAAGGCTAGGCTGGGCCACATAGTGAGACACTGTCTCAAAAAACAAAAAATACACAAAAAATTAAATTAAAATGGGGGAGATGGTGGTGGAGAGATGGTTTAGCAGTTATGGGATCTGATGCCTGTAGCCTTTTCGGGCACCTACACTTATATGTATATATTCATATGAAGATACACACACCTACACATAATTAAAAATCACTTAAAATGGAGTCAGGTGATATGGCACATATCTTTAATTCCAGCACTCAGGAGACAGAGGCAGGCAGATCTCCATGAGTTCGAGGCCAGTCTGGTCTGTATAGTGAGTTCCAGGCCAACCAAGGCTACATAGTGAGACACACTCTCTAAAAAACATACATACATACATACATACATACACACACATACATACATACTGTATTAAATTGGGACTGGTATTAAAATGGGGCAGGCGAGATGGCTAAACTGGTAAAAGCACCTGCCATTAGGTAAAAGCATGATGGCCAGAGTTTGATCCCAGGAACCCATAATGTGGAAGGAGAGAACAGAGTTCTACAAGTTCTACTTCTATTGTGTGCATTGCATATGAGTGTCCACAAACAGATATATATGCAAGCACATACAAAAAGAAATAAAAACACACCCAAATAAGCAAACAAAACCATCAGTCAGGAGCTGAAAAGTTTACTCAGCAGTTAAGAGCGTTTGGTGTTTGCACATAGGCTCAGGGTTCAGTCCCCAATACTCACATAGTGGTTCATAACCATCTGTAACTCCAGTACCAGGGAATCCAATGCCCTCTTTTGGCCTCTGCAGGCACCAGGCACAAACATGGTACACATACATAATGCAGACAAGACACTCTTACACATAAATCATAAAAAAGAAAACCGCCGGGCGGTGGTGGCGCACACCTATAATCCCAGCACTTGGGAGGCAGAGGCAGGCGGATTTCTGAGTTCGAGGCCAGCCTGGTCTACAGAGTGAGTTTCAGGACAGCCAGGACTACACAGAGAGACCCTGTCTCTAAAAAACCAAATAAATAAATAAATACATACATACATACATACATACATACATACATACATACATAAAAAATAAAAAAAGAAAAAAGAAAACCCACCTGCCCCCAAATTACTCTAATTGGAGACAGTCTGGCAAGGGATTGTGCACACAGCTTTACAGGGGGGAATCCTACAGACTGCCTCAGCCAGGGAGCAAGGTCACTGTCAGAAGCAGCAGCACATGGACAGCCCATGTTTTGGAAAGTCATAGCACTGCACACCAGATGCCCTTCTAATCTAGCTATAAGAAAACACATCAGACAGATCTCGTTAGTTATGGATTCTATTGCTATGATAAGACCAAAAGTAAACAGAGTTTGTTTCACCTTACAGCTTATAGTCCATCCAGGGACATAATACCAGGAACTTAAGGCAGGAACCTAGGAGGAGAAGCTGATGCAGAGGCCACTGGGGAGTACTGCTTACTGGCTTGCCTGCCATAGCTTGCTCAGCACAGCTTTATACTCTCCAGGACCACTTGCCCAGGATGGCCCCACGCCGGTTGGCTGGACCCTCCCACATCAATCACTAGGAAAATGCCCTACAGTCATGCCAGCAGGTCTCAGTTGAGGGTCTCTCTTCCCAAATGACTCTATGTATGTTGACATAAAACTAGTCAGGACAAACTCCAACTGAGAGAGAATCTACAAAATACTTGACTTGTATTCCTCCAAACTGCCAAGGTTAAGACTGGGGCTACTGGAACTAGAGAGATGGCTCAGTGGCTATGAATGCTTACTGCTTTTGCAGGACTTGAGTTCACTTCCCAGGACCCAAGTTGAGTGGCTCACAACCACCTGTAACTCCAGCTCTAGGCGATCTGATGCTCTCTTCTGGTCTCCATGGATATCCACACACATGTGGCATACATTCATACAAACACATAATTAAAAATAATAAAAGTAAATACTTAGAAGAGTTTGGTAATGCTGCTCAGTAGAAGGGCACTTGTTCAGTATATACAGGGTCTTGGGTATCATTCCCAGTACCACAAAAGCAACAGCAACAACAGTCCAACAAAAAAATGTTAGGGTTTCTGGGCAGTGGTGGTGCACACCTTTAGTCCCAGCACTTGGGAGGCAGGCAGACCCCTGAATTTGAAGCTAGCCTGTATCTACAAAAAAAGTAGATACAAAATCGGAGGCAATGTCACAACTCAGACAAATCCAAGAAAATAGTGACTACGTGTAGTGTGGCATTCTGGAAGGGCTTCTAGAATGGACAAGATATATCAGAGGGATAAAGAGAATATCCATAAAATTCAGACAGGGTTAATAATGGTGAGTTATGCAGATGGACTATGTTTTCAGGAGGGGAATAGGGCAGGCTGAGCAACCACTCTGTACTAGCTCTGCAAAAGTTGGGGGCTGGAGAGATGGCTCAGGGGTTAAGAGCACTTTTCTGCTCTTCCAGAGATCCTGAGTTCAAGTCCCAGCAACCACATGGTGCCTCATAACCATCTATGAGTACTTATGCCCTCTTCTGGCAGGTGTACATGCAGATAGAAAACTCATATATTTAAAAAAAAAAAAAAAGTCAGGCTGGTAACCTAGATCAGCAAGTAAAAGTTGCTTGCTACCAAGCCTGATGATTCCATGCTGTATGAAAAAAAATGGCTCCTGCAAGGTGTCTTCTGATCTTGATAATAAAAGCCAGTGTAGAGTTGGTGAGGGCTAGATAGGGCTTCTATCCTCACATCAAAATGCACCCAGTCTTTAGATGACGTTTCTGATAACCTGGGGACTGTTGTGTTTCATCAGTGATTGGCAGAGAGCTGTTTCTCGGCCAATGTTGCGTCCTGGTTGGCAGGAGAAAACATTTCTGCACAGCTTTGTTCCTCCTCTTGACTCCAAAGTCATTCTCTGCCCTGTCCCTCCATGGCCTGTAAAAGCATGCTGAGCATCTAGTGTCTCCTGTGACTGATAAAGGGCTGTTGGAGAACTTTAGTCTCTTACTGTAACAGTTGTCATCCTTATAAGAGCAGCTGTGACTATTTGTAAGGCCCTCATGGCTGAGCTTGTTGATTCTTGAAGTTCCCTCATAAGAGGGTGCAGGAAAGGTCACTGGACCTCAGTGAATGCACTCAGGGTACAGGATAGGGAAGAGGTATAGGCGAGAACCTAAGTTCTTGTGTCTCAGGCTAAGTGCTGAGGGAGGCCCAGGGAGAAAGGCAGGAAGAGAGTGGTCCTTGCCTGAGCAGATTAAGGGTCAAGGGGGGCAGTGATTACTTAAAATCAAACATCCAGGAAATTTCTGCTTGGCCTATAAGGAAAACAGCCTGAAATGAGTAGAAGGAAGTGAAGTGACAGGAGCTCTGTTGATGGACTCTGCTCATGGGCCTTTCTAGTTCTCAGAGCTCTGTGGAGGTCAGACATCAACTTTGTGAAGTCAGTTCTCACCTTCTACTTTATGTGGGTCCAGGGATCAGATCCAATTCATCAAGCTTGCATGGCAAAGCGCTCTCCTCACTGTCTTGCAGTCTTTTCTGGTGCTCTTTCCCAGCACTCACTGGCTTCTGGGTCTGGGAGTTAAGTGCCATTACCATTAGCCTAGAAAGCTTGTCACTCAGCGGGGTGGGCTCGAGATTTTTCAGAGCAGGGCTTCTAGGCACAAACTATAGGGAGTCCATCTGAAGTTAACTGACAGTTTGCTCTGCTTTATCTCAGGCATATCTAGGGTAGCTCTGTGACTAGGCCCCTGAGAGTATAGGGAAGTCTGCACCTAGGACACTGGTAGTGGTGGCTACCATTTTAAATGCCACCATCACACAATCTAGAATCACCTAGAAGGGACTGTTTAGATTAGGTTGGCTTGTGGGAAGACCAGCCCACTGTGGGCAGCATCATTTTGTGGGAGGAGTCCTGAACTGAAAAGGAGCCAAGCACTCACATGTATTCATGACTTCACTGCCCTCTGCTCTAAACAATAGATCCGTGTGACTATAGCTGCTTCAAGTTCCTGTTGCCTTGATTTCCCTGAAATGGTGGACTGCAACCTAGAATGGTGAGCTGCCTGGCATCCTTTTCTTCCTTAAGTTGCTACTGTCATCATAGCAATGGGAAGAAAAAGGAGGACACTGGCTATGACTGTTTCCCATTTCAGGTCAAGGACCAACAGGAAGATAAACTCAACAGATGGATCCAGGTTTTAGCCACCCACCAGCCAAAGCAGGGCCACTTGGACTGGGAAGGGAGGAACATGCGCCGGTCTTGGAGGTGAGTCTGAGGATGGTGGGTTCTGACACGGGAACAGCACCCACCTTCAAGCCTTTTTCCACATGGAGGAACACGAGAGTTTACTCCTTTCTACCTATGCCCCGGCTTATTCTGAGTAGAGTCACATCTGCTGAGGATGTATGGTTGCAGTGACAGAATGAGGGGCAGGAGCCCAAGGCAATTGGTAAGAAATCACCAGTTTATTGAATGAAAAAAACCAACATGGCCCCAGTCTTCCCACCCCACTTCTTCTCAGGCCCAGGAGATACTCTGGACAGTAGGGCCGGGCAGCAGGAAGGGTTTAAGAGTCTTGGATGTGAAGAATGCCAAAGCTCTGTTCCAAATGCAGTTCTGTGCCGCACCACTAGGAAACAGTGAGAGGGCAAAAGAGCAGCTCTGAGGTGCCAGAGGCACAGAGGGGGGGTCAGCTCTCTCCCTTGTCCTCGACCTCTCATGAAGACACTGATGAGGAGGCTGAGGAAGGTCTGGGACCCATCCATGGCTGAGAGGGAAGGAGGCTGCTGAAGGGAGATCCTATAGAGATGGGCCTCTTTCTGCTGCCCTGCCATGAAGGAAGTGGGAAGACAGAGCAGGGACAGGGAGGCAAGCTGACCCAGGAAAGGGAGACAATAGGACTGGGTAAGGTGTGTGTTGAGGAGTGGAGGGGTGGGGTGGGGTTTGCTGTCTCCTACCTCATTGAAGCCACAGAGCAATGTTAGGTGAGAGGCTGGGAGGCAGAGGGAGGAGCCTCAAGGACCTGTGCACAGGACAAGTTACCCAAACAACTAAAAACACGTAAAACACAGGACATCCAAGTGACTCAATGTCAGGAAATCATGCATGGGAGAGACTGGGAAGGCCCGTCCATCCCAGAACACCAGGATGCCCAGGTGCCATACTCCTTCCCCCTACTGGGAAGGTGTGAGGCAGATGAGGTCACAGAAATGGTAGGAGGCCCCAGCCCTGCTGGAGGAAGGCAGGGTGAGTACAACAGGCAACAGAGCCTTGGAAATGCAGAGCTGGGTGGCCACTATGTAGGATGCTGGGCTATCTCACTGTGTACCAGAACTCCAGGTTTTTCATTTCCAGAAAGGGTACCAGTGCTGCAGGGGTGAATGAGGTGAAGGAAGGCCCAGATTATTCAATTACAGAGATTATGGGCCCAGAAGGCAGGATCACCCAGCTCTAGGCCTGGAACATGAGGATGGTAGTCCATATATGGGCTGGGCAGTGAGAGGGGAGGGCTACATCCCCAGTGGCAGTGTCCTTCAGGACTGGGCATGTAGAAGCAAGCCTCAGTGCTGGGAAAGGGAGGCTGGGCTGGGGCTTGCTGGCCTTCCCCTGCCTGCAGGTGATGAGGCTGGGTGGCAGTGCCAGGAGGGAGTGGTTGGGAGGCAGGGTCTCAGGTGGTCTTGCTGCCACTGAAGAGTCCCACTGGAAAGTGCTTGACATGAGTGGGCCACTGGGCTGCCAGCTGGAAGAACTTGATGTCACTCCACTCAACTCCATCGATGGACACTGGGGTCATAGGGAAGAGAAAGGTTATGGGCTAGCTAAAACCATCTTCCTACTCCTCAGGGTGGATGTGGCTCCCTCCCTCACCCTGCGACCACAACCATCACACCTCTCAGCATGGTTTGCTGCTGCTTTGCAGAACAGATGAGGCGGCTAATGCCCTCAATGACCTGGCTCTTAGAATCCACCTCCTTTTCCCGGGGCTTCTTGCTCAGGAAGATAGTGGGCACTGTAAAGCCAGCACAAAACATGTGTCAAGAGAGTTGGGAAACATCCATCCTTCCCCTCCTACCCCTAGACCCATCTGCTTCCTTCTTGCTGGGTCTTGGGCAGTAATTTGTTCCCCATGCTTCCTGGCCCGGGCCATGAGGAACTTTGAACTCCTGGGCCACTTTGCTTATGATTCTGCACTTTTGCCTGGGCCCCTCTTCATCTGTGCAGTGAAGCTCTGGGGCCAGATGGTCTCCAAAGTTTCTCTCAGGGGGAGTGTCTGGGCACCTTGGGGCAGGGCTGTCTCCCTGTCTGGATCACCAAAGCAGTGGCTGAGAGATAAAAGTGGCAGATGTTTGCACTACCTCTGCCCCAGATGTGGGAATAATCCAAGCTGGCTCTATCCACACTAGGAAGAAGGTGAGGTAGGGTAGGGTCCCTGCTGAGCTGATGGCAGGTCCCTATGCCAGTGGTGAGCTTGGCTGCAGGCCTGGGTCAGGCCCTGGGAGAACTCTGAAGGGAGGAGGCACACACAGGAAGAGGCACAGCTTCCTGGGAGCTCCTGCAGAGGCAGATTTGGAGTCACAAAGGACATAGGCTGTGGTACACATCTGGAGCTACAGTGTTCCCAATGGTGGTTACCCAAGCAGTAGTCTGGCAATAGGGATGCTTGTCTCACTCTTGGAGAACAGGACTGACAACTACTCTGCAGCCCTGCCTTCCATGCTCTAACTACCCTTTATGTGCATCTGCCTCTCCTTTTAGGATATTGGTGATTATTTTGAGGTAGGATCTGATGGCCTTGAACTTGTAATCCTACTGCCTCAGCCTCCCAAATGCTGGGATTTTAGATATATACTGCTATGCTTAGCTCTTCATTTTTCGAAAGTGGTCATCTCTTTTGCTCTTGAAACCTCCCTGGAATGGCTTCCGTCCCTGGAGCAGGGACATACTCATCCTGAAGGCAGTGGCCTTCTCCTCCAGCTGATGTAAAGCTGGGCCCTAAGCTAACCTCAAGATCTACATACTAATACGTATATCCTATCCAGAAGCAGATTTTGGCCCAGGCCCTAGGACAGGGGTTTGGAGGGGTAACTAGTGAGATCTGCTGGTATCTTCCCTGGCCTACCTTTCTTGTTTTTCTCTTTGGTGACCACAGTCATTGCCATGGTGCCAGAAAGCTGGGCTTCCCCTGCATGTGGTAGGCGAGAAACCTGCACTGAGCGGAAGACACTCTTGAGGGTATTCTTTGAGCTGGCGTCCCTCTTATCACCTTCTCTTCTTCGCTCCCCAGGGTGGCCCAGCCAGTAGTCCACCTGGAGGCCAATCACATCCCCATATGGGCTATTTGGGCTCCTGGAGAAATGAGACAGAAACAACATGTAGGCTTTGACCTCAGTGCCTAATCACATGAGCCCAATGAGGGGTGGGAGAGGCTGCTTTTGGGAGCAGGAAATAGAGACAAAGGCTAGCCAGCTGGCTCTGTTTCCTCCAGTCACACAGAATCTGAGAACAAAGACAGGAGAAGATAAAAGCCCAAGTCACAGTGAGGAAATCAAAACTCATAAAACAAGGGAAGAGCAGAAAGCTTTGTGAAAGAGTGTGCACACACACAAGCAAACAAGCCCAGGCCCAAAGCAGGCAGATGGCTGAAGAGAAGAAACAGAGATCAGGGGCTAAAACAGCACCATGGCTTCAAGGCCGCCTTGGGAGCCAAAGGGATGCTGCCCTGTGCTTTTGCTTTTGTATGGCACTTTTAGCTCAGTGATAATTTTAGCTCCTGAGGAAAATGGAGTGTTTTCTTGAAAGGAGGCGTCAGACACAATAGGTACCCAGGCTATGAAAGTCATCTGACTTTTCCTTTTGCCTCATTTTGGTGGTTCCATTAAAAAGCAAATTTAAATTGGATGAGAAAAGAGGTCAAGGTAGGAGTTGGTCCCAGTCCTCAAATCCAAGCTGGGTAAGAAGCCTTTCATGTATTGGACAAAAAAAACAGGAGAAAATAGGCTTCCTGCAAGCTTTAAAGTACTAGATTGCTGATGCAGAATGTTGGTTGGCTGCATTCCTAAACTGTCTCTTCAATGACAGTAGAAGACCATGATTGGAAATATAAGGAGAAGGGCTGGACTCTAGCTCTAAGGCCCATGCCTCCCTCAGAAGTTATGATAGTGTCATGGGTACTTCTGAAAAACCACTGGCAATATCCCCCTCTTGAGCTGTGAGAAAAGGAAATGGTGAAGACAGAAGCGTGAAGATGCTGTTTTCTGTGCCTGGCCACACCTAGCTTTTCTTGCCCGAAAGTCTTTGTCTTCTACCCTCACAACACCTTCCCTAGCCCTCCCTCAGACATGGCAGAAAACCAGCTTGCTGGCCATCTCCCTGAACTTTAGGTACCTGAGATTCTAAAGAAACATTCTCTCCCCCACTACTCCCAACTATCTCAGTGACAGGGTCTTTGCCATCTCAGCACTGCAGGCCCAAACTAGACCTGAGCCATCGGCTGCTACAGCTCCAGGGGCTCCCATGGGGTAGGTACACAGAAGGCGCCACTTTGAAGCATGTCCCACAATGACACTGTTGCCACTCAGGCCTCACAATATCCCTGTGAGGTGGCCAGATCACCTGCACACACAGCAGAAACTAAAGCTCAGTAACCTGCCAAAGTCACCATAGTGCACATAGGATGGTGCCACTCAACCCAGGCATCCCTACAACAATGGTTCCCAACCTTCCTAATGCTGTTACCCTTTAATACAGTTTCTTATGTTATGGTGACCATAACCATAAAATTATTTTTGCTGCTACTTCATAACTGTAATTCTGCTACTGTTAGGAATCGTAACATAAATATCTGTGGTTTTTTTTTTTGTTTGTTTTGTTTTTTTTTGAGACTGATTTCTTTGTGTAGCCCTGGCTATTCTGGAACTCACTCTACAGACCAGGCTGGCCTCAAACTTACAGATATCTGCCTGCCTCTTCCTCTCAAGTGCTGAGATTAAAGGCATGTACCATCTCTGCCTGGCTAATATCTATGTGTTCTGATGGTGTTAGGCAACCCCTGTGAAAGGAGTCATGACTCACAGGTTGAGAACTACTGCCCTAGGAGGTCCTATAGGAAGCTACCAGAACAATTCTTTAATAGCCTACTAGAGCCACTATGTTAATACAGGCGAAGCTGACCCTACAGCAATGACGGCTAGACAAAGCAAGAAGACTCAAATCAAACTTGACTAAACCTTCTTTCAATGTATCAGTCACCTTACGGCCTGTCTCTGAATTCTACCTAAGTCAGCGCTCTCACCCAGGATGGCTGTGTTGTGCCAGGGCGCCATGCCTGGGAAGGGAGTCAGGTTGGGGAAGAACCTTACCCCACGATGGCGAGGGCACTGCTCATGGATGGGGATGAGGGAGGGGTAGCTGTGGCATCTCTGCTCAGGCCTGAGCTTGAGGGTGGTGATGTAGAGGGCACAGTAAGGCTGACCACAGGTGAATCGTCCCCATCACCTGTCAAAGGGACAAACACAGTTGGCCAGAGGCAGTCACCCTTGACCTGCTGGTGGCAGGAGGTGTGCTTTCCTTTCAGTGGGCCCCAGGGTCCTTTCAGAGGAATGCCCCATGCCTTCCCGTTCAACTGCCTTCTTGAGCACATTCAGCACATTCAGTTACATCACAGAGGGCTGGGCAAGAATGACCTAGCTCAGAGAAGCAAAGGTGCTCTACTTTACCTGCAGTGGAGGGCGAGTCTTCAACAAGGCCCACTTTCACAACCTGCAGAGATGAGACTTTGGTTAGGTCCTCTGTCAGGGCAGTAAGCTCCAATCCAACTATTATCAATACATGGCCAACAGTACAACCATAACTACATGGTGTTTTGTCAATGACTAAAAAAAAAAAAAAAAAATCTTTACACATCTGAAACAGCCTAGGACTTAAAAAAGAAAAAAGGAAAGCCCAGTCCTGTGAGGTGGGCCCATAAGACTTGGTAACCCTTCTTTGGGCACTACCATACAGCTAACTTTGAAGGCAGTGTCCTGATCTCATTTCTTCTAAAACCATATTGGCTTTGGAATAAGTATATCTCAAGGCTAGCTAGGCTTTGTGTCAAGACAAGTGAACTGCTGAAGGTGTAGCCACAACTTTTCTATTTCCTACTTTCCTGGAATCTGAAGTACCCTTGGTATATCTAAGGAATTCTAGAGAAGATAGAAGGTGCCCTCCAGTGGGCAGAAAAAAAATACAGCTAGAGACACTTGGTTACTGTATTCTGTGTTCTAAATGACAGGTAGGGGTCCAGTGTCCTGGCACCTGGGCCAGGCTATCCAGCAGAATACTTAGGCTGGAGGCTAAGGGCTGGGCTGGGGCTGCTGCAGTAAAGACCATGTACCCACCTGGAGGGTGGGTCTAAAATTGACACCCTGGGCCTTTCTGGATACAGCTATCATCTCCCTAGCTCCCCTGGCAGTTTGACAGGCTGCTGGATCTTGTGGTTAATTAATTGTTTCTTTTGAGATGCTGCAAGTAGAACCCAGGGTCTTATGTATGTGTTCTGTCACTGAACTATGGCTGCTGAAACATTTTTTGTTAATGTCTTACTCAGAGCACACTGAGTGTTCTCATATCCCTAGTTCCATGAAGGCAGTAGCCACACTGCCAGCCTGTGTGGCAGCTGGGATTCTGGACTGCCATGCAGCAATGAGAGTTTTCCAGTGCTAAGTAGACAGTGACTGACTAGGTGGCTAGAGGAAGCCTGCCCATCTCCCCAGATGAGATCACTCAGGACATCTTTCAATTAAAACAGGTCTGCTTAGCTCTTCCCTGTAAAGATTATGAGAGATCTTCATGATCACAGGAGACAAAAGTCAACTCTGAAAGGAAATCAGAACGCCTTCTGAATGGAATGACCAGTTTTCAGCCCTATGTAGAGTGCTTTTGGAATTTCAAGGCTCCTGAGATCATGTCATTGCTAAGTGAAGAACACCAAAGTCCAATACACTTGACCCCAAAGGCATCCACGAGGACCTTGCTTAATTTTAAAATAAATTTACTCAAATTTCACTAATTCACTAATATATACACCTGCAATAGAGAGGCTCTTCCTCAAAGTCATCCCTGTGAGGTAGCTGGTTCTGGACTTGTGAGAATGCCAAGTTTCACTATTTCTGAGGCCACTACCTCTTCCCTGAGCCTGGAGAAGCTACACTGTGGAGTTTACTGCTCTGGGCTTGGTACAATAAACAGGAGAACTAACTAATCTAGGGTAGCTCCTGATTTGGGAAAGGATGTCCCTTTGTAAGCCCAGCATTTAGGAAGCTGAGGCAGGAGGATCACAAGTTCAAGGCTAGCTTTAGCTACAGACATCCTCCTGCCTGTCTCCAGAGTTCTGGATTTCATGGTGCATGCCACCATATAGCCTTTTCTTATACAGAGGGAAAGTAAGAAGGCTGGGAAGCTGGGGTCAGAAGAGGGAAGCAAGTACATACACCAATGAAGGGGATGAACTTCTGGTAGGAGTCTTCATCAGGGCTGTTGAGAAACAGGAAAGATTTACAATTAGTGGGCTTGCAAGAGTACTGGAGAAATAAGCTTCCCCCATGTGTCCTGCTCACTGGGATCCAGAACACAAGGCTACCTCTAACCAACCCCATCTGTCTTTAGAAAACTCCTAATGTCAGACTTACAACTTATGCCTGCAGGTTAACATGGCTTCAGCCACAGGCAGCGGGTGTGTTGTGGTCGCTCCATTGACGTACTGCATCACACGACCCACCACATCTAGTGGCTCTGCAGAAAAGCCAGGAAGACTACGTGTATTTTAGTGTGCAGCCCTAGAGCCCCTCAGTCCCAAGGACCTCCTGAGTCCCAAGCCAAGACCCTCAGAGCTGAAGTGAAGAAAGGACTCTAAGATCCTGTTGCCAGGAATTAAGGGAATCACAAACCAAAGCACAGTCCTCTCTCACCTGAGCTGGACTTGGATGCTAGCTAGCATTGCCAGTGGATGGTACAGCGATACCTGCTGGTACAGTGCCACTCACTCAGTAAGAGGTTGATCAGTGACACTCTCTATTGCCTATGTCATCTCTATAAGCAGAGCTGGCTCACATACTAGCCACTTGACCTCCTTACTTTTAGATGCAGAGACTACGCTGAGGAGAGGGCCATACAGGGTACACCTCCATTAATGAGCGTCAACTGGAAAGGCAGTCGACACAGTCGGCAACAGTCTGGGAGCCACAGGAATGGGAAGAAGGTTGTTCCCCACTCTCTTCAGCTGCACTGGGGAACCAGAAGCCTCACTTCTCAGAGGTTCCTACTAGGAGCCCTTACCTGACACTGGAGCCTCTGAGCGACTGAACAGGTCTCTCCAGGCAGAATCAAGAAAGGTGCTGCTATACCTACTATCTACTGAGCCCAAGTATTTGGCCACTGGATGAGAACCTGGCAGAGGGAAAACCAGAGAAAATAAACTGTTAGTGGGTAGAGCAGAGGGAGCAGCTATCCCCCACCATGGTCCAGCCTTTAGCTTCCCTGACCAATTCCCATCCTTGCTGCAGGAAACCAGGTCTGCTAATAGAGGTCTCCTGAATGCTGCCAGACGTTACCTAGGGGAATGATGAGGAACCGCATGTAACCCAGCCAGTCCGGGGTCTTGCTGGCAAGGGACTTGACAAAAAACCGGAGGATGGAGCTCAGGTAACTCTGGCTTCCCACAGCTGCTACCTTGACTGGCCTCGGCATGGATGAGTTGCAGTTGCAGCTGGTAAGAAACAGGGTGTATACACACCATATTTAGGCCTCAGAATCCTGCTCAGGGCAGGTCTCAAGTTCTGACTTCATGCATTTCCAAAAGCCACAGGGGAAGCATGCCAAGAAAGAAAATGATACAGGGAGATAGCAAGCTATAGTACTGCTCAAGAAGGCAGGCAGCTGTCTATGGAGAAGGCAGAGGCTAACAGGAAGTTGGAAGTGCTGCCTAAGAGGCCTGGAATTGCTGTCACAGGAGAGGGAATACCAGGCCTCTCTAAGGTGATCCTGGAGAGGTAAACATAGGCTCTCCATTAACAAACAGCATGTTACCACAGAGGGAAGGAATATAAGGTATTTTTAGAACCCTGTCCTTTCTTGTCTCAGATTCAGGAGCAAGATGAAGCAAGTCTAAGTAAGGCATGAGTCGAGGGTGTGGAGGTGGTGGGAGCATGAGTTTCAGGAGCTGATATTCTACTAGGGGCATAGAGCACTGCTGCAGGCTCTGTCTCCAAGTACAAACTGGAGCTGCGACTTCCTAGCCTCAGAGTAACCATCGCTAGAAGAAATCAGATGGGAAGATGAGATAGAGGAACCACAAAACATCCTAAGAAAAGCCTTACTAGCGCTGAATCCTAGTGAGCAGGGCAGACAACACGGCCTGGACCTCCACTGTTGAGCAGGTGCATACAACAGGCTTCCTCTGGTCTTGAAGCAATTCAGCCACATACTAGAGGGGGGAAGGAAGGGACACAGGTAAGCTACACTACTCCCCACAAATGATGAGAAGGCAGGCAAGGCCCAGATAGAGCTGCAGAGCACCTGTCCCCTTCAGGTTATGTGTAAGAAAAGGACACATCAGACCCCATGGACATGACATGCTGACTGTGAAATGAGGTGGATTAAGGGTGCCAAGTGTCACCCATGTCCAGGCATCCTTGAAACTAATGTCTATGAGGCAGACATAGATGGCAGATGAAGTCACTCTCCTGTCTCCCTGTGTGCTGTTTCAGGTCACACACTGGGAACATCTGTAGACCCATTACCCCTTGACCCTTAATGCTCTACCTGGCCCTGCCAGTCTGTGGTGTTCACCAGGATGACATTTTCAGGGAGGGCTGCATCGGATACCAGGATCTGATTCAGCTGGTCGTATACCACCTTTCTTGGAATCTGTAGGAACAAGTGTTGGTTGGGCAGGTGGAATAATAAGACTTCTGGCACAAGGGTAACTAAGAATTTGTGGAGACAGTCTCCCATTGATCAGACTGAAATAGAGATGAAGAGGAAGATCAGTGTCCTTGGAGAATATACTAACACACCAGGCATAACGTCACACCAGTAGTTGTTCTGGGGAGAGCCTGTGAGGCTCGGAAGCAAAGGCATCATGTGAACGGCATGGCCCTAGGGGCTCTAGGGTAGCATGGTGGGGACTGAGAGCAGCAAGTGAGCTGGTGCCTGGAGAATGCAGCAAGGGCAGTGCGGAAGAGAACAATGAGTGGCACCACGTGGGGCCCACTGTCCCGGGAACAGAGGTGTTTCAAGAGCAATGATCAAGCAAAGGACAATACCTTACCCTAGGCACTGGGCTATTCTAGTCTCAGTTCCACTTGCAGCTTTGTGACAGCATCAAATTCAGGAAGCCATATGCCCCAACCTTGTCCTTCCATAATATTTATTAAACTTTTCTGTTTAACTCTAGGAGAAGAGTAACCAGCACGGGTGGCTTCTTGCCCTAGTTCTGATCCAGTGTCTCAGTGAGGACACCTCAGGTCTGGTTTATGGTCACATCTTCTCCAACTACCCTCAGGGTTGAGAGTAGCCTAAGAAGAGCTTGGAGTAACCATGGCAGCATTGGCAGGGGAGCAATGCTAACAGTTCTTGTTCCTGTCCCTGTTCACCACCACTCAAATGGATCCCAAATTCCACTTAGCAGAGGATAACACTTATGGTGGCTTCTCTAACTTAGGTAACCCAGAAAGGAGCTAACATCCCTCCTTTTCCTCCACCCAGCTGTCAAAGAAACAGAATGAAATCCAAGAAAGGGGTCCTGATCTTGCAGGAACCCAAGATTACCTGTGTGCTGTGGCCCAGGTCGGGAGAGCGTTCACTGTCAGAGCTGTTGGTCCTCTCACTCAGGGGCTTGGAGAGCTGCCGCTCCTTCAGGGGAGTGCTCCTCTTTTGCCGCGGGGTGTGTGTCCCTTCCACCTTGCTGATGGTAGCAGGAATGGGGTTAACAGCCATTTCAACCCCAAAGCCACATCAGCCCCACCACTCCCCCCAACATGTAGCTGGTACTGGGTATGGATGGTTGCAGGGTCAGTTGCATGTGCCCTTTTTCACTGGGGTACCTGGGAGAGGCGGAGCCCTGCAGATCAGCTTTGCTGGACTTCATAGGAGTTTTGACTTTTTCTGGTACAACCAGACTTGTGCTCACATCTCCAAACATGTCCTGGTCAGTGATTTCCTGACACAAGAAAGGTGGCAAAGAATGTTACCTCTTACTTGATAACTCTGCAGGAGCCTCCGCAGAGCTCTGGGGAGATCACCACTTTCCTGGAAGCATGCTGAGTGGGAAGGAACACAGGGTTCTAACATGCTTATCGCACGTTTGTTCCTCTGGTGCTGAGGCCGTGTGCTCCCATCCATCTACCCATGTCCTCCAGCTCTATGAACAGTGTTCCAGTACAGAGTGACTGATGGAAGCCCATCTATAGGCTAGTGGAGGGGCTGCTATCTGCATCCCTTTAGCTTCTCATTAGGGCAGGATCTGTGGTTCTGAGGTTCTTGTTTATATTCCTCATCTTGGCCAGAGCCTTGAAATCGCTTCCTTCCCATCTGGAATACAGTTCCTGTCCACCTCATCTTCCTTGGTTCTTTCAGGCCCATCTCTTCTTCCCACCCTCTGGGTTCAGAGCCTTGCTTTCTTCAGATAGTCCAGCGGCTCACAACAGTTGTCTTCCCAAAGCACAATGGCAATCACACTAGGATGGGATTCAAACTGCACCAAAGCTCTGCCCTGCTCCAGGGGCCTTTGAAGGCTCCCTCTCCTCTGGGTCGAGTTCCTAAGTCAATCCCCCACCTCTTCAAGTACGGCTTTCCAAGTACATCAGATCATGCTTGCCTACTTATATCTTCCTGCCTACCCTTCAATTTCTTTAAGCATCTATTCTTTCAGGAATAACTTTTACAAAGTACTCAAATTTAAGATATAAAATTGATTTTAAAAAACTTGATTGAAGCCGGGCGTGGTGGCGCACACCTTTAATCCCAGCACTTGGGAGGCAGAGGCAGGCAGATTTCTGAGTTCAAGAGTTCGAGGCTAGCCTGGTCTACAGAGTGAGTTCCAGGACAGCCAGGACTACACAGAGAAACCCTGTCTCGAAAAAACTGGAAAAAACCAAAAAACCAAAAAACCAAAAACCCTCGATTGAGATATGGTCATATGTATTCTAGTCTAGCTCTGAGCTCCTGCCTCTCCTGCCTCTAATTCCTGTATACTGGGACGCCAGGCATGTGCTCCTACACCCAGTTTTATGTTGTACCAAGGCTTTATGAATATTAAGTACTCTGTCAAACTGAGTGATTTCCCTAGCCCCAATTTTGAATATGTATGGCTGGGGATGGAACTCAAGACATCAAACATACTAGAAAAAAAAAAGTTTACCACTAAGCTACATCCCTAGCCTGAACTAAATTTTAATGTAAACAAAGTCCCAGAGACCATTAGCTGGATCAAGGCAGAACACTCCCACACACCTGAAGTATCACTTGCCTCTTGCCACTTCCATAGTTATTATGTGTCCTGATTTCCACGTGGGTAAGACAATCCTATGGCATGCATGCTTTGGGTATCTGCCTTCGCTCTTGGATACTGAGATAAGATTCAGTCTGAGATTTGGTCAGTTAGTGGTGAGTCAGAATCAGGAAGTGATGTGGTTGAAATTTCACTTTAAAAAGATCACTGTATTGGTTATGTGTAGTAATGGGGAAAGAAGAGTTTATTTCAACAAGTAAATGATGAAGTAATGGTGCAGTAGGTTTTAATCTTGGATAGAACTAGTGCTTTATCGTTTTCAAGATGAGCAATGTAGTGGTACTTACTATAGAAAACATAAGTTTAAACACTACTGGATTCAATTCAACCACTAAAAGGTCTTGCCATGTGGTCATTATCCCAGACAGCATTTTTGTAAAGTTCCCCCTCTAATGTCTAGATCCCTGTCTCACTGGGTACATTTCCAGGTACCCCACAAGTGTAGCCAACTCAGAGAACCTCTCATTCCAAGGCTTTCATTGAGCCAAGTCCAAGTTTGCACAGGTGGCTTCCCCTGGAGAGAGGTATGGATGTCATCTTTGTGTTCAGCATTAGCAGGTGCACAATAACAGTTCAAGGTTTATGAAACAGTACCCAGCTGATTGTATTCTACTTCATGGGGTGTTGGCTTGCACTCCTAGCCAGTTCTAGCATCTCCTGGAGGAGAAGATGATCAGTGACTTAATGCCACTAGCTTCCTGAACACTGAGAAGGCAACAGAGATGGGGAAAGGAGCAGCTCCCCAGGGCTAGACATTGGACATCCTCTTTCAGAAGTAAATGAGGGTGACAGTAAAAAAATACAAAGTAGTATTTGGTCAGTTCTACTTAGGACAGAATGGGGACAGTTCTGGTTTACTAACCTAGGGGAGGACCTGGCTGCTAGGATGGGTTCCATTGCAAGAGTAAGGATTTCAGAGGAAAGGAAACACAGGTCATTCACAAGCCCACAGATTTAAGGCAAAATTTCCAAGGTGTCCTGAACATCTTTCTAAAATAAATCTCTCCTCTCCTCTTTGTCTGTTTGTCTATCTGTCTGTCTCTCTCTGCATGTGAGTAAGTGTGTGTGTGTGT